GTTTTCAATCTCCCTCCAGCATAGAAAACGCAGTCACGTGACAAAAATACCGGCTGTGGAAGAGTCTTCTTTCATGTTCTTACCAGCTATTTCAATCTTCTCTTTTTCTTTCTCGCCAGACTGTAGGTATCGGTGAAGTGAATTCAACACGTGGGTACCAACAAGTGTGAAACGACCAAATGTACGGCAATCACGCACACGAATGGTCAGCGGTGGACAATAACGCTCGTTCTCGGGCAGTTCCTRTATTAAAAATACGGGTTAAGTRTCTTATAAATGGATCCTTGTTTGKTGATATTTACTGWAACATATAATTTCGACAACAATAACAATTATAAAACAGCAACAGCAACTACGACAGCAACCTGCCAATTACGGCAAGAAAAGCTTTAGAAAAAGCGAGGTCAACTTTCCAATCAACAAAATGATCAACAATCTTACCACATCGAAGAAACAGACAGGGTTTTGAAAGTTGGGGTTTTTCTTTGCGTTAGTGATGACGGTTGATTGGATAACATGTCCTGCCAGATCGATATCGACCTGTGGTCGATCTACGGTGGTCAAGTTGATACGTTTCATTTCTCGTACTCCCCAGAATAGAACCTAAAACGACACAGAGAAAATAAGATAAATAAAACAAGGGAATCAAGCACCAYCTTGGCATATTTGTGTTTTTCACGGTTTTCGGTTTTTTTTTTTGGGGGGGGGGGGGGGGGGGGGCACAGAATGGTTTTCGTTTCTTTTGTAATCATCACCTAACCCCAGCAAGTAGCATACCTCAATTCTGTGTTTCTTCATAACAGGGCGTATTCCAACGGGTACAGGGGTTATTGGACCATCAGGTGTGTTCACAGGTTCAATCTCAGGTGGAAGGAAACATGTTCCACCAGTAACCTAAAGCAAGAAACAAAACATATTTTAAAATCTCTTGGCTTGACTTYTGGAGCAGTTCTCATACATACCTGTARTAATTCAAATGCAGCCAGGAGCTCYCCRGCATTTTCTTCTCCACGGCAAATCTGGAACCATTCCAAAGCGGGCGGGAAGAAAGGCTTCTCGTAGGGTTCRCATGCCATCTTGACAATAGGACGAGCSAGAGCACGACCAATGAATTCTGAATCTCCCTGTAAGGCACAAAATATTAGTCAGGGACTTATGCCACCTATAGCATTTAACTATACACAACACCTACTCCAATATCCTTGTCAAATATTTCAATGACAATGGTCGGCGGGTTAACAGCAATCTCGTTTACATCCCCCCATAGTACAATTTCTTGGAAGTTCAACGTCTGATCCCACGTAGGGCTGCGTGTTTCCCAGATTACACGCGTGTCGCTCACTTGGTGGGTAAAGATCACGCGGCCGAAAGCATCTGACAGCCCTGAAGCGTCGCTGCCGATCAGACTTCGAGCCTGGTATGTGTGAGCGCGGAGAATGAACTTTTGTTTTTCTGTTGGGAAACAATAATACGAAGGTTAAATGAGGTTTCGCCTGAACTTAAAGCTTAAATAACTAAATACTAGTCTGTCTTTAACAAACACGAGAATATGGCACAGACATAAAGTACAGCTGAAGGTCAAATTCAAGTTGGTTAGATTTTCATGTCAACAAGTGTACCACACTCGACAAAAGCGTCCTTCTCAATCTCATTCTGCTCCCTTCCAACTTTCTTCATTTCATTTCACAAACCTGTATAAATCAGATGGTTAGGCGGTGGAGCCATTAACTTGTGAGCATTCTTCGGCTGAAATAATCAATAAATAAACGAATGAGGTAAGAATTTAGTTGTCAGAGTATACAAATCATGAATGATCGATTAGGAAAAAAAGAGAGAAACACCACGTCTCATTTACAAACTCAAACATAGAATGTTGGCTGAAATTTCTCAGGATAACAAGGTTACTTTCTTACCGTTTGGTAGCCCTTGGGTGCGTCTTTTAGGTAGTCTTTCTTGTGTTTGTGCAGACCAAGCCAAATAACTACATTTAGTTTAGCTTGAATTGCCCATCCCTTAGGTCCATCACCTCGCTTTCCTGGTAACTGATGATTACGATGGAAGAAAATYAGATAAAAGATACATGTTGGTATGTATTCGGCTTTTAATCAGGGAACGGTTATACGAGAAGTGAATTGCGCTATWAAGTGCAACACCTCTATCGGGTGCAGAGCTCAATCCACCCTTCATGCAACACGGCCTTGATGCTAGATTATTTTAGTTCAGTTCCCATTTTTTCTCTCATTCATTTTTTTTATTTTATTTCATTTTTCCTTTCTTCCTCTTTCATTTATTCATCCATTCAATCATTGTAGGTTTCCTCAGTTCCCGCGACTTACACGAAGGAACACAGTCTGCATTCTGCCCGAGTCTTTTCCTCTTTCTTCCTCGACCAGCGAATAKATGATGTTCTGAGCGGGAATCCTTGTGTATGCTACTCGTTTACCACCACACAACATCCACACAAACACATCGGGGATAGTGTCTTGAGGCTGGAATCAAAATAACATTGTATTAATACTAATCAATAGAGCATTATGTACAGACCTAAATAAAGAGTGTAACGGAAACACTGTACGAATAGACTTCGCGATCTACCGAGCCGTACCGATGTCTATACGGAAAATCGTTTCATCATAATCATCAGCCAAAGATTTGAACGATAGTTTATCTGGTTCATTATTTACAAACTGAGATTATTCACCAGTTGCACTATAAATTTAGCCTTGCGAATTACCTACTACGCAACTACGCATGCTCTTAGGTTACATTGTGTCATCATATCCCACATGGCAAAAACGTACCTCAACAGCAATGTTCAGTAGTCTTTGTAACAACGCATTAGCTGCTTTCAAGTTGTCTTTGATGTGGGAATCATCCCTTGTGCTTGCTTTTAGTTCTTGCGCAGACGTACACACAGATTCCACTTCGTACTGGCATAGCTTCAGTCTTTCCTTGTCTAGTTTGGTGCGTCCCACATGGGAGGCAGTAGGCATGGACTTTATCAGGTTCAAGTATTGACTACAAATTATAAAATTATGTATGAGCATGCGCGGCAACGACTAAGAATGCCAAAAGTGGGGCAATTGTTAAATGAAAGATGGCCCTATTATCACAGCATCTATTTGATGAAATTGCAGGCAACCCTCCCATTATATACTGTATTCATCAACGTACTTGCAGCCATTGGTGAGTTCGGACAACACTCGGCTTAACCATCGGAAAGTGTTCGGTAGATCCATTTTAACTCTCTCCATGCAATCAGTCAAACCATCTTCAAGTCTCTCACAAATCTTTAGCAACACGTTGGAATTGTACAGTCGACGACGATGATCTTGCCACATAAACTTGATATGTGTACATGGTTTGGAGTCTTCCCATGGGATGTGGTAATACGTGCGATCGTTTGTGACCGGTTTAACGGGGGGAGTGAGAGAATGAATAAATGGATTTTCGCCGTCACGACGATCTCCTTCTTCCTGAATCTGAAAAAGAAATATTATTATTATCATCATCATCATTTKYAAAATGRTGCATCATCTTTGTGTGAGCYTGATTTTCATACAATTATATCAACATCATTATCACAGTAGTTATACCTCTTCCAGAGGGACGCCATCAAGAGTGTTGCCCCARTTRCCGATACTCATTTCAAAGTTAATCATCTTATCCCCACACTTTCTGTCAATCATACTGGCCTCGTAGAAACATGCGAAYACTTGGAAATGTTCCTCTTTGCCGGCTGCAGTCTGTAGCAATAAATATATACGTTATTATTTAAGTTATAGATGATATCTCAAAGAAGGCAAAAAAACCCTGCAATACTGTACAGTGTACAACACATAATAGCAGTTTAGAAGATAACAAAACGACAAGACTGCAGTCAATTTAAAGATGCTTTGAATTCTACAGAGAACWACTTACGTCAGAGATGGGTGGAGTGGGCTCAACTTCAACTTGACGAATGCCTGAATCAGAAGCAGATTCTCCAAATTCTGCATGAACAGCAATCAAGATGCGACCTCTGAATGCAACACCTTCGCCCTGGATACGAAAACAAAGTGTTATACTGGCATCAAGTGGTTTAACGAGCGCTTCAGATATCGAGTGACAAACAAAACTGGTAAAAACTCACCAGGCCATTATTGAGGTCATTGTGTTCATCAAACAAGGAATAGTCACGTGTAGACCCATACAGATTTAACCAGCACGGCCCAAATGTTGGCATAAAACCTTGTTCAAATAGACCACATTAAATCAGTGAGGCGTCTTTACGGTTAACAATAAGATTCTTTGGGGGAGGGGGGAGGTAATGTTTAGAGGCATAGACAACTTAAATAGCTATCTCAAGACTACCTCGTTTCTAGTTACATTACACACGAATTTAAACCTGATCACAGAGCACTGGCAAAAGGGGTTTCGAACCGTTTCGTAACAAAACCAAAACAATGCCTCTGGACAACCAAAGAATACGCGCATTGCCAAGAGACGCTGCTCAGACGGGTCAAAGAAGTCAAAGAAAAACACATTGACTATTTGTAGAGCTCCGTCTCAAACCGATGGTTAAACATCATTTTGATAGTTAGCTCTACAATGTATACAGCTATWTCAAAAAACGTTGAATTCCGTTCAAYACTGAATACTGSACTTCAAGACCGCAATGCATTGTTGSTAACAAAGTTCGCGCGGTGCGTTTCCATATGACAATTCTWAACTTAATTGCTTTCTGATGAATTTCTTGGTTCTGCGGAGCTGGTACAGTTACTCTGAAACCTTGAAAACCTCTTTTGAACGGCGATAAAACGACCAACAATGCATTTCGRTCTTCATTATTCAACGTCTTTTGAAATAGTTGTATACACCAAAGTTATACAATGAGAACCCCTGTAAAATCATTTAAATTTCGCGCTTTAATTGGATGGTTTTGATTGGATAACGTAATTGTGACGTCGTCATTGATGTRTTTGTTGTGTTGGTTTCCGCAATTGTACGTCAATCAGTCCGTTGCATTGCTGACATGCAATAYTATCATACAAAGCATACATGGCATGATGGGCATTGTTGTGATTTTGTTCTCGCGATGCAACTATACATCKTGCAGCCCTGACATGCATTTCACTACCTAAACATGCATTTCAWTGCTCACTGAGACATGCAATGCGTGAGCAATTAAAAACCCTTAACGCAAATAAATAACACTAATCCCCAGACGACATGCAAATATCAATTATTGTATTAARATTTGAACTCTTTAATACTACTGAACCCTTCATCGCCCAACCCTCTATTACAAGGGAGATCTTTTATCGGAAAAGATATTTACATATAGGATATCATAGACACAGAAACGCTAAGTCTTTTGAACAAATCAGATACGAATAGTAGAATAGCTAAAATGCTACCAAATAATCGTTAATAAATCATTAATAAAATCAATGAAAGGAATCACAGAACGACCACAAGTACATTTGTTGGACAAAACCCAGATTAAAAAATAAATGCGAAATGATACGCAACGACGAAATGACCCGAAATGACGAAAATAGACRGGCAAATTCAATACTGTTTGAAAWAACTTTRTAGTGAAAACGGGAGAATTTTCCATTWATCTGGATAGTTTGATCCAAGAAATGTAATGTAGGTTCAGTGTTAAGTAGTTACCGATGTCAGTTGGATATCTATGTACTTGATTTCGCCGATGTCACCCAACGTGTTGATTAGTGAGCACCAGCAAAACAACATAAAACAAAAGTAAAAAAACAGACAAATTCATTGAGAAAACGGTTGCCATTCTATACTTCGTAGCATTCTCACTAACGTTCTTCGTGGTCAAACTTTCTTTTGCAAAAACAYGTGCCAATTTGTGTGCTTCTAACGAATTCTCTTTCAAGGCTCTCACTCAACATTTTGTGCGGTTACGACATAACTGTTTAAACTTGTGGCATCTTGTTTATCTACCGAGGCAAATAGCATSGAAAACCGCATGACTTCTTTCATACTTCGATTCTAGAGAAGTCCAAGGTTTTTTAAATTAAAATTTGCTGCCACAAATTTCTTCCAGTTTCTCTCACAAATCAAACTTTGACCACGTGGCATGCACACACGCATTCATTTCCAGTCAGTGCAGAGTATCACGTGACATGTGCGAGGCGGCACTAACAATGACATACTATGTATCCAAGCCTTGGCAGAAGTTTCGTTGCTAACGACGTCAATGTGTTCAGAGGAAAAGTACAAGGCAGACGTGTTATCGAGTAGAGTGTACGCTGAGCATGGAAGAGAAGCGTATTGAAGAGACTTTAAACAGGTTTAATTTAGCAAGTTTAACAGGTTTAATACCGGTTTAGTCAGATGCTTACGTACCTATGGTTTGTTACTTTTAGAGCAAGAAATGATGAATGACTACAAAAAGGTACATTCAAACAACTAGTCAATGAAAAACACAATGCGCCAAACAGATGAATGAGCTCGATAGACAATGAAGGTCTTAGAAACAAATGTTGCTCTTCCGGATATGTTTTCTATATAACATGCGTGACAGCAATACCCTGCCAATCACTTCTATGTTCTCGAAAGCAATTTGTTTGTAGTCTTATTGATCTTTGTAAGCGATGTTTAGTGAAAAAAAAAACACGGTGAAATGGTGCCACTAACGACTCTATTAAAAAAAAAACACGGTGAAATGGTGCCACTAACGACTCTATTTAACTAATGAATTTCTTAACAACCCCAAGCATGTTGCGTGCTTTTGACACACCTAAACTGAGTGCTTGTATCGTTGTTTCCCTTCGTGCTATAAAAACTAGAAGGCAAGTTTTATGTTTGCATATATCCTATCTGTGCTAGTGCCTTTTATTGCGGTTTCATCTCAATATATACTTTTCTTTGGATTGCTTTTCTATACAGAGTTTTAGTTATATCTTCTTTGCACTACGTGTGCTCGGAAAATGACAAGCTTTTATCATTACATTGAAACATTCTGTTTTCCATTGACTTTGAAACACAAGCCTCAAAATGAACGAGAAATGTAGAAATATAGATGGCAACACAAAAGAAAGTCGAAAGAAGAAGAAAAMRTGCACGAAAAAAACACAGTGCAAGATGAAAGGTGATCTTTGTGAAAATTATTAAGATTAGATTGATTYACCGCTGAACAGAATGACCAAGTGCTTAGGTTGTCTATGATATCTTATGATCTAGTTATGGTTCTTATGAAGGAATCTATGATCGTCTTATGGGAATGTATATAATGGTTTTTCCTCCTGATGACGTCATACTACTTCCGGTAAGATGCACTATGGGATTGACGAAACCGCGAGCTTAACTTAATATCTTTTTGACTGCGTTTTTAATAATACCCTACGCTATGCAACCATTTCATTAAGGTTTCTTCTAAGTCATCCTCAACAATGCAGGGCGGGTTCGTACAGATTCCAGAGTTAAAATTTCTAAAACTTCCAAAACTTTTCCACAGCCATCAACCTAAATTTCTAACACATATAAAATACAATTCTGTCCATGTTGGTCGATCTTGAAGGAAACCAGCTGGCTTTTTTCGTAAAAAAAAATGAATTTAATCGGCGTTTTTATCGAATTGACAGGACAACAGAAACTTTCTTTCAAAGGTGGGATTTSTATAAAAAATCTTTTCCATACCCGATGGTCAAAAAATAGTTTTTCCAAAACTTTCCAGGTCCTGGAAAAATGAAATTTGATTTCCAAAACTTTCCAAAACCCGTACGAACCCTGACAATGTTAAAAGATTCATATGTCGCGGAGAACTGACTTTGTTCCTGCCTTGTCTTAACAAAACATTCGCCATATTAAYACTTGTATCAATACCATAATGYACTTCGCCGAAACACACATGACGTCATAAGGGGAATTATGAACAGACAGACAGAACATATGACAGGAGAGACAAATATGACAGTAGACACACATGCACTGTTAAACAGCAATGAAGAGCACAGTAAGACAAATACAGGCAGCAGACTAGTGACAGACAGACAGACACTAAGACGCAGGCAATAGAGACTAGAACTAAACAACAGGACAGACAGACAGACAGAAAGACAGACAGACAGACAGACAGACAGTAAAGTAGAGATACACACCAGGAGCTTGAATAGAACCAGGAACTTTAATGCCTGAGCCTGGAATATACACCTCAGATAGCCAGCCTGTATAGCGACCCCAAACAGTTAAACAAATTGTCCTTCTAGCTTAATGTCCCTTGAGGCACACCGAACAATAGGAAACAAATGTAGTTGGTACATGTACTCAAAAATAGGAACAGAATTAAGACGTACATCGAAAGTGAGTTTTAGGGCCGTTTTAAGTCTTTGAGAACCTCAAGGTCCTTTTTAGTGCCTCAAGGTCAAAACTATTAGGATTTAGTGCAAGTGTCACGTGTGTTAAATCACGACTGCTTGATGTGACAGAATTTAGAAACGACTGCGTGACGTGCAGTATCTAATACTTGGACTGCGTGACGTGCAGCATTTCATCGTGACAGTGAAACTTTATGACTGAAAAGCCGCGAAATTTAAAACAACAAAATATTAAATGATAAAATGTTAGATAATTATTGCCCGCGATTACAGTGCTAAACTAGCCGAGTGTAAAYTAATTTCTGTAATATTAATAAAAGCATGATTTAAGAATGTAAAACGTAGTGAGCGAATCTTAACACGAATGGAAGCTAAACGAATACAGCAAAACTAAATCAAATTTCGTTGAGCACTAAAATCGGACGAAAAACAGAACATAAAGAAACAGYTGATCGAGTAGAATCAATTTTTACTGATTTWATCAGGCTTTATACAAAAGAACACGTTGTTATTGATTACATTATTTGAGAAAACCTTTGAAATTATATGCACCCGCAACCACATCAGCCATTAGCAACACAAACCGTGAAGCAGGCATTAAAGTTCTGGAAGCAAAAGGGAAGAAGCAAAATAACAATTTTCTACAAACTACAAGAACAAAGACAAGGAGAAAAAGAAGGTAAAGTGACATTTAAAGAACCATCTACAAACCCTTTGTTGCTATAGTAACAAATGATACCCATCATGCAATATACTATTGTTACCATGACAACAATCTTATTTTGTTCCTCCCGTTTGGTTCCCTTACAGCAAGAAAATTCAAAAGAAAYGAGATAAGATACCCAAGAACAGAAAACTAGTTTACTTAAAGAAGAGTTCAAATACTAGTTATTATTGCAGTTGCCAAGCATGTTAAGCTTTATATTTAGTGATAATTTAGTGGTATATAGTTTACACACACTGARACCTGTACATAGTTAACGTTAACAGAAGTTGAGAAAAGATGACACGATAAGTCCTCCTTTTTGATTACCATCGCGTTTTTTTCATAAAATGGCTTGCTTGGGATTCCAGTGTCATGATCGGCATGAATCAAAAACGAGGACTGCACATGTTGACATAAGTTTTAATATCAAAATGTTGGCTTCATTTATGAATGTATTTAGTAATTATGTTGAACATTAGTGAAAGATTAACATGTGAATTACATCATGCAAAAGGCTACAAAATAAAGAAACAACAAAGCAACATGCCGTTCAAATCCACAAGACGAAMGGTTACAGTAGAAAGCAAAGCATAAGAAAATGTCGCAAAGAAATACAGCAGTCAAGAAAAAGAAACAATTGTAATGATAACAATGTCCAATGTTTACTTCTCGTATCCTCTTACCATGGATACCAGTCACCATAGATACAAGTCACATGGATATCAGTTACCATGGATACTTATCACCATGGATACCAGTCACCATAGATACCAGTAACCATGCAAACAACAATTTCTTTCTATTCAAGTATGATTTGTACAATTGAACGTTGGGTTCTACCATTTCCAAATAAGAATGCAGAACGATAAAGATTTAAATATTTGGAAATGGCAGTGACTCCTGTTTTTGCTTAGATGGACTGAGCAGAGCGAAAGTAGTGTTACTCTGGGCCACTATTCAATACACAAAACTGCACCAACTGCACTCAGAATTGCTATATATGGGCAGACACAGGAACGAACGACAGAGAGAGAGAGAAAGATAGGCAGACAGATGGGCAATAGGATAAAACAGTGTTGGTGCAGTTTCGCGAGGGTTTTAATAAAAGAAATRCACATGAGTAACATACCATTGGCGCCATCATTGGATATCCTGGACAAGTCAATGAAATGTGTACCAATGACCTCATCACTGACGGAGTCGCTATAGAAGGACAAAAAATATCATTATTTTAGAAACAATTCAAGAGAGAAGATCAGACTATCGGGAGCGAATCTGAGCGAACCAAACAAACGATGTTGCGAATTAACGAGAACGCAAGCGAACGAGCGTGAGAACAAACGTGTATGAAGCGAACGAACCAGCAAGAATGCGGACGAAAGAAAATTCAGATGAACAACGAGCATACGAATGGACTATCGGGAATCCGACGTACCAACGAGTATGCAACTAACGAACGAACAAACCTACGAGTATGCAACGAACGAAGGAACAAACGAGTATGCAACGAACAAACGAACCTACGAGTATGCAACGAACAAACGAACCTACGAGTATGCAGATGAACGAGCGAGTATAGGAACGAATTCACAAGCATGCAATCAAACGAATGAACGAAAATGAGCGAGATAGAAAACAGAAAACTGAATAGATCAGTCGTCTGATAAAAAGCGCTCACCTGTCCTTAAGCTGCATTTTGATTCGACGACACAGGGGTGGGAACTGAAAAGAGAAAGATACATTATTTGGTATCATTGCAATAAAAGGCACCATCAGTCGCAACGTACCAACTCTGAGAAGACAACTTGCTCGTTCCACTTTGGATCGTACGTATTCTTCTTGACWGTAGTTCTTGCCTGTTGACATGACAAAGTTGTCAAAACTGACCAATAGAAGTGCTCCATGTTTAAATGTTTTACTTACCTTGTGTCCTGCAAAMGATACCTCCACGTAGGGGTTGACAAGATCTCGAACCTATTAACAATTGCAAAAAGTGCCATGAGAATGAAATGTTTTTTGAGCGTCACAAAAAACAGTACAGACTTTCCAATTGCCGACTTTAGATATTTTGGTTCAGTGACCATGCACAAAAGAATTGCAGACGAGGCTCCGGGAAAATAAAAGAATAAATAAAGATTATCCATTGCTTTCCCGGAGCCTTGTGTGCGTTCTTTTGCACATAGTCATCGAAACAAAATATCTAAAGTTGACTATTAGACGTACCTCTCCTGTGATGGCTTTCTTAACGTTTGCCATCAGCCCAGTATTCACTGCAAAACAAACACGTATCAGTATATTAATTTGGAGAATATCAATCAATCCCTATTTACATTACTAAGGGAAACTCAATTAGCGAAACTTCTACAGACACCTCGTTATACARGTGGAATTAGGATTTTTTTACCGTAACCCTGCACTTCCCTTCCCCTCCCCCACAAAAATACTCTCCCGTTAATGTAACAGAGCGATTCTTGTGTTTAAGTAATAATTCTCACTTTTTGGAAGTCCATCCGCTCTGTAGATCTTAACGATGATTCGTGCCTTGGGTCGCTCGGCAGGCACTCCCTCAGGAAGAAGAAGATTTCTAYAAACACGACATAAAAACATGAATTYAAAATTACTTCAAAATAYTGCTTATCTTYTTYTCACTCAACCACGTTACCAGGCCATCCCGCCTGACAMMAAACGAAGGGATAAGGGCCTGGGAACGAGTTTGCTTTTACTCACTRTACATGCATTATTTGGAGGCGCATTTTAAACATTCCTTGACCATAATTACAAAACTTTACCGTTTATTTCATTTCGACTTTATAGTTCTTACCCTTCGATATCGTCATCATTATCTTTGATGCCTGGTGCCTCCTGTCAATCAAACAAAACCTTATGAATATTTAATTACTCGGTCTACCTAGAGGACTAAYCCGCGCTATGAAAGCCTTGCTCACGTACGTTACTTATCACATCGATCAGTCATGATTATGCGTTCAAATTTCTAGAATTACGATTGTTTGCGCACTGATTAACGTTKTATTTGTTTCGTCAACGTTGCTAAAGGYGATCGACACCTATTGCGATAAAARGCGTCATCAATRCAGTACAATTGTTTACCTTYGCTGGGTCATTCTTTCCAAGCACTGTAATATCCACTCGGGAATATCCCTAAACAATCAAAAACACATTGACATCATTGGTATGGAAGGTCTTAACTTTCTGACTTTATACTCCAACCATTTAGGTTGACCGCAAAAACATAAAACCTTCAATAAAGGAACCAAAAACTAGATAGAGGTAGAAACCTTAACGTAGAAAATGACGCCACAGATTAAGGCAAAACTGCGATATTTCTGATTTTTTTAGATATATATTTATTAGTTTTGCTGTCATCGCCATTATCATAGTCATCTTTATCATAATATCATAACATTGTAAATATCAACCATTGTTAAAAACATAGATTTTTTCAAATCTGAGGAAGCATTAAATAGAAGCTTTAATTAGATAAATAAATGAATAAAAAATCAATGATAAAAAATCAATGAATATTCAATGACTGTAGATCCGGTTTAGAAAAAATCTCAAGAACTGATCTTTAGCATTAACTTTGAATCTGCTGAAATTCAACCGCTTTCTCTTGCACAATAATGTCACTGACAGTCTAACCATAACACGTCAAATATAATTTTATAGTTATCAGAAGAGACCAAAAAAGGAAAATTACTCAAATCGCATTTAAAACTCTAAGAAAATCAGATAAATGCCCACGATGAGACTAAAAAAGATTGTTTTGGCTCTTTTCGTGGGATKAATAGGGCCTTTGATGGCTAAACGATCTGAAGAATCAGAAACCGACAGTTCAGACGTCATGGGTAATCATGGTAACCACACAAACGCCTACACAAAGAGTAACACCTGCTACGATTCGCTCACWGAACACTTGGTCTAGGACATATAGAGGGTCATCTAAATTCGATAAAATTCAAAAATRCAATGAACGGTACGTCGAGATAGATCGTAAAATTTTACACTTTAAGGAGCGTGTTTTCAGTTTTCAATAAAGGGTTGCCACTGGTTACAGTCTTCCTACGTTGAAAATTCTTATCAAACCTATTTTGTCACATGTTGTGAAACAATGTGCTAGTTTTTGATAAACACCTTAATTCCTGCGCCAGAAGCCCCTAAGGTTTCATCGGGGTCAGTTAGCACCGCCCATCTTCGGCAGAATCTGTGATCRGGTTGAGCGTACACTGTACCAACGTCAAGCTAAAGAGAGTATAGATAGATTAAGACTGCGTGATTTTAAAATGAGAAATGAATCACGAAGTTCTAAAAGAGAACAAAATTGGTTTAATGAATGGGAGAATGAAAGAAATAAGAGCGACATCTTGAAAGGTAACCGTACTTTTGTCAAAGTAAGAGCAAGTGGTYTCTGATCAAAATATTATTTAAATTAAATAAACGATAAAAAGGAAACCTTTTAAGAGTATAAAAGGAAAAATGAATGAATACAAAAATAACTGACTCAGTTGAAAAACAGGAGGAAAAAAGGATTCATACAAACCTTGAAGGCACCGATGAGTGCACCTTGGGACACAAGATTTCTTCCTGTGAAAAACTGAAAAAAAATATAAGTATAAACACTTGTCATCATTGTCATCATCATCATCGTTATTATCATCATCAACAGCATGATAATAATCAATGCAATGGCAATCACACATTGTCACTTTTGTACCCAATCTCTAGAAACCTCCCGTTTTTGTTAAGTCAGTAAAGGGTAAATTTCATACCTGGAAGTTGATGATTTTATCGAATAGCATCATTGGTGGCATTTTGAAGTCAAAGACAAAGAACTAAAGACGAAAAATGTGAAAATTAGAACATGCAAGATACATAATGAAAATATGAACATTCAACACGTACCTCGTCATAGAATGGACAGTTAGTTTGTTCCTTGATAGTAGTGCTTTTTTTCTGGTTTCCTACACTAACCGTACACACCGGGTCGATCTGCGTACCGGCTAACTGTCGGGCTTCATGGATACGGATTTGTATCTATAGGAGATAAATGCTTGATTTAACACTTGACCATACACTTGTCATAAACCTCAAGGTCATAAATTGACAAAACTCCGACAGGTATAAAGTATAGTGATACTCAGGGGGTAATTAAAAAATCCCGGCAGACCGCCAAAAATCGACAAAACACCGGTAGGTAAACGCGGTACTAGTACTCTGGTAGTTAATTAAAGAGTCCCAGAGATTGATACTGACCAGCAAAACTCCGGTAAGTATGCATTGCCGTAACACTCGGGGAGTATTAAACTAGTCCCGGGGATTAACCCGTTAACAAAACCCCGGTGGGCAGATTACCTGGTAATCTTGTTCTCTAACAGACATCTTCTTATCAGCTCGTACACGAGGATGCTGATGGCTGCATTTTGTACTCATACTTCTATCACTATGTACACTATTCTGTGAACCACGCCGACTTCCAAGTCCTCTTTGTCCGTCTAACATGGCGTCGAATGGAGACGCCATACTCGTCATGTTCCCTTCACCGATATATTTCCCGCCGCCGAAGGACGTCGGCATAGACTCTTTTCTGTCAGACCGTCTGTGACTTCCAGAAGACTGGAG